GGGGCATTCCACGCCTTTGATAAAGATGGAGATGGTATCATTAAACTCAACGTCTTGGAGGTAAATAATTTTACTCAGGTATTTTTCTTGGGTTATGGTCAGGTTGCGCACTTTTGTTCTTCTTCGAGTGATTGTTCACGTCCATTACACATTAGGTGTGCGCGCGTCACGTGCACGGATGTCGGAAACTTTTTCCCTCAGCGGCTCCCGTCGGGCCGGCAGGGTCCCCTCCCTCCTGCCAGAGCGGCGCCCCGCTCTAACGTATATATAACCCTGCAGGCCCGACCCTCCCTCAGTTCCTTCTTACCCTCCGTGACGGCGTTGGAACAACTCTGTCTCTCGCTTGAGAGTGTCCCTTAGCTTTAGTAGTTAGTGTTACTCTTAGTAGTTATCAGTTCTTTAGTAGTTAGTGTTAATCTTAGCAGTTATCAGTTCTTTAGTAGTAGTTAAGATCTTTAGTAAGGGTTTTACTCCAGATATTTCCTTGTTTTAGGTGTTTGGTCAATCCCGACACCGGCCCTGGGCGGCAGGGCATGCTACACGCCCAAGGCTTCAAGGCTTGTGCCACGTGCCGCAAGCCTATGCCGATAAGCAATCCCCACGACTCGTGCCTCCGTTGCCTGGGGGAAGCACACCAAAAAGAGCGCTGCAAGATCTGTAAGGCCTTCAAGCCCAGGACTAAGAAAGAGAGAGACTTTCGCCTTAAGCAGCTGCTCATGGAGGCTGCATTACAGCCCTCCACTTCGACACATCAGGCCGCGGCACCGTCAACTTCGGTGCGGAGTGCCCCGGCATCGGTTCGTGATCTGGCACCAGCGGGGCACCCTAAGCCTACGGCACCGACACAGCAGGACCACCCCCGGCACCGGTCATCTTTGCCGGCAAAATCGAAGGGCCAACCCAAGGCCCGAGGACGCTCCCCACATAAGAGGGTAGTGCCCGCGAAGACCTCGAGTGCGCCTAAGGGCGTGGCGGCCCCAGGACAGATCCCAGTGCCAGTGGCTCCGGCGCCTAAAGGCCTGTCGAGCCCCAGGATAGGCGCATCGAGTGAGGAGGAAGGGCTGGAGGAGCTTTTGGAACAGCCCTCCACCCCGGACACATTTGAGGCAGCAAAGGACCTCATCGAATTGTCCGCTGAGGGCCTCCTCCAAGCCAAAGATAATCCACCAAGACTGCCATCCAGAGGCAAGCCAGTAATGGTGCGCCCATCACGGTCACCATCTTGGCACCATTCATGGCGCCGATGCCGGTCGAGCTCCACCTCGGTGGACTCCCGGCTACCTTCGGCGCAGAGGGCCGCACAGCCGTCAGGCCCCAATAAGCGCCCGGCACCGACTCAGCAGCCCTACTCGAGTAGGCACCGGGACGTGTCGCCACGCGATCCCCAAGACCGACCACTCGCAGTCGTTCCCGGTCCCGAGGTCACTGGTACCAGTCCAGGTCGGCAAGACGCTACTCCCTGTCCCGGTCACGGAGGTACTACTCTCTGACCCCGGACCGGCACCGTCCCACGGCACCACCGTGGCATCCAGGTCACCGTCCGTGGTTTCGGAGGCAGACTCGGGCCATTCCAGCAGATTTACCCACAGGGAACATGAAGCCACTTGGCACCCACAGTAGGGCCAGCCAGGACAATGGCCATTCTGGACCCCTTGGGCCTACCACCAGCAAGGCCCCCCCATCCAGGACCTCGAGATCTGGCTCCTCGGGACACCGCTCCCGCTCCCCGCAGGGGCGCCCCTCCTCTCGCAAGGAGGCCACGGTCTCCAGACCACCGGAGCGAGAAAGAGCCGACTTGGCACCGAGCCTGGCACCGTCTCAGACCCACATTATAGGACAGACCCCAGAGGAGCGCCCAGTCGGTGAGGAATTGCAGGAAGAGGAGGACGCACAGAAGGCCCTAACCTCCTCCTCCTCACCAGATGAAGCCGTGGCGGGCACGACAGTGTCCGGCCCTCCCCCGATTGACCATCGGGCGCACCAGGAACTGCTCCCCCAAGTAGCCCTCAATCTGGGGTTGCAGGCGGAGGAGACGGTAGAGCAGGAGGACCCCATGGTTGACGTCCTAAGCCTGGAAGGCCCCTCCAGGATCGCACTCCCGCTCATAAAAACAGTACAGTCTAACTATAAGACAGTATGGCAAACACCGGCCTCCAGTGCACCAACTGCGAAAGGCGTAGAGAGGAAGTACTTCGCCCCCTCCAAGGGGTTCGACTTCCTCTTTTCTCACCCAACACCCTGTTCACTGGTCGTCTCTGCGGTCAACGAACGAGAGCAGCATGGCCAGCAAGCCCCGGCCCCCAAGGCCAAGGAGGCAAAGCGCTTGGACTTATTTGGTAGGAAGGTCTACTCGTCTGGGGGCCTCCAGTTGAGGATCACTAACCAACAAGTGATTCTGAAGAGACACAATTTCAATTCTTGGGCATCAGTCTCCAAGTTTAAGGACTCCCTGCCCCAGGGTTCACAACCCGAGTTCGCTGCCTTAGTGGACGAAGGGAAGGCAGTAGCCAAAACCTCTCTGCAGGCCTCCCTTGACTCCGCGGACACAGCTGCCAGGACAATCGCGTCAGGAGTGGTGATGAGGCGCTCGGCATGGCTACAGGCTTCTGGCCTTCCCCCAGAGGTGCAAAACACCTTGCAAGACCTCCCGTTTGATGGGTCAGGCTTGTTCTCAGACCAGACCAAATGGTAATATGTACCAGATTACATAGCCTCAAAGACTCTCGAGCAACCCTCAAGTCGTTGGGAATGCACACCCCAGTGACACAGAGGAAACCCTTTAAGCCACAACCACCGCAGAGGCAATACCACCCTCGTCCTAGACAGGAACCATACCGCAGAAGGGGCAGGGATAACAGGCGTAGACGGAACAACACGCCTAACCAGGGCCAAAGCCAAGGCCAAGGCAAGCTGCAGCCGGGAAATAAGCAAGGGTTTTGAAGCTGCGATCGAGGACAGCGTACCGACCCTTATACCGGATCCTCCGCAATGTTTCAGGGGCCGCTTGTCCCATTTTTACCGTGCTTGGTCCTGTATAACATTGGACCGCTGGGTCCTTCGCACGGTGGAGGCGGGATACACCCTTCAGTTCTCCTCGCCCCCTCCCTCCCATCCCCCATCCCCGTCCCTCTTCAGGGACCCCTCTCACGAGCAACTCCTTATGCAGGAGGTGCGGGCCCGCCTCAAAGTAGGAGTGGTGGAAGAGGTCCCTCCGGACCTAAGGGGGAAAGCGTTTTACTCCAGATATTTCCTTATTCCCAAAGCAAAAGGGGGCCTCCGTCCTATTTTGGACCTCCGCAAACTAAACAAATTTTTGGTCAAGGCACGTTTTCGTATGGTCTCCCTTGGCGCTATTATCCCAAAATGCATGTCCGTGGTGGCAGCCTTTCTTCGAAAAAGAAAGATGCGGGTATACCCGTACTTGGACAACTGGCTCCTCGCGGGCAGGTCAGAGGACAAGGTCCACTCCCATGTGGCACTGGCGTTACAGGTGTTCCGCAAGCTCGGTCTACTGGTCAATGTACCCAAGTCCTCACTGATCCCCCTGCAGAGACTGGATTTCATAGGAGCAGTCCTGGACTCGGTGGTGGCATGGACAAGTCTTCCAGTTTCCTGGCCATTCAAAGGGTCGTAAGCTCCATCCAACAATTTCCCACGACCATGGCCAGATGCTGTATGCAACTCCTGGGGCACATGGCGGCTTGCGCACATGTAGTCAGACATGCCCACTAAGACTCAGACCGTTACAGTTGTGGCTAGCCCAAACGTATCGCCCCAACAGAGACCCCTTGGACCTAGTAGTGACAATCCCAGCTCGGGTGTCGAACTCCCTCCGCTGGTGGCTCGATCAGCAGCAAGTTTGCGAAGGGGTCCCTTTCACCACACACAACCCACCCTGACGTTAGTGACAGATGCGTCGGACCTGGGCTGGGGGGCACACCTACGGGACCTGCAGACCCAGGGCTTATGGTCCAGGGAAGAAAAGTTGCTCCACATCAATCTGAAGGAGTTAAGGGCAGTTCGCCTCGCCTGCCAGACCTTTCACGCTACCGTAGAAGGCCACAGCGTGTCAGTTCTGACGGACAACACTACCGCCATGTTCTACATAAACAAGCAGGGCGGGTCCCGATCCTCTCCCCTCTGTCACGAGGCGCTCCTCCTATGGGACTTCTGTATAGCCCATTCAGTCCAACTACTGGCAGCATATCTCCCAGGGGTCCAAAACGGGTTAGCAGACCGCCTCAGCAGGTCGTACCACATTCATGAATGGACGCTGAGAAAGGACGTCCTGCATTCAATCTTCCAGAGGTGGGGGTTTCCCCAGGTGGATCTCTTCGCCACCAAGGACAACAGCCAATGCCCTCAGTTTTGTTCATTCCAGAACCTCAGCCCAGGCTCATTGGCAGATGCCTTCGCAATTCAGTGGGGCGGGAGCCTGAGGTATGCCTTCCCACCATTCCCGCTCATCCACAGGGTCCTGCTCAAGACCCGCAGGGACAAGGCGACAGTCATCCTCATCGCACCAGCGTGGCCACGCCAGCATTGGTTCATGACCCTGCTGGAACTGTCCTTGACCGCCCCGATTACCCTACCCCTCCATCGCGACCTCATCACACAGGACCGGGGTTGCCTACTCCACCCGAACCTACCGTCGCTACATCTCACGGCGTGGTATCTCTCTGGCTAAACGATACGGAGCATAGGTGCTCCCACCAGGTCCAGCAAATTCTTCTTGGTAGTAGGAAGCCCTCCACAAGAGCAACCTACCTTGCCAAATGAAAGAGATTCTCTCTCTCTGGTGCGAGCATAATCTCATACAGCCTCTCCAGGCCTCCATCCTATCAATACTGGTCTACTTGCTGCACCTCAAGCATCAAGGGCTCGTCCCCACCTCAATTAAAGTGCATCTGGCCGTCATATCGGCGTTCCACCCGGGAGAGTTGGGGTTTTCGGTATTCTCCAACCCCACAGTAGTTCGATTCCTCAAGGGGCTGGAGAGGGTGTTTCCCTACTCACACCCACTGGTCCCTGCATGGAACCTTAACCTGGTCCTAACTAAACTCATGGGACCGCCCTTTGAACCCCTAGCCTCTTGCTCCCTCATGCACCTCTCATGGAAGGTAGCGTTTCTAGTGGCCATCACATCGGCTAGGAGGGTATCGGAATTGAGAGCCCTCACTTCGGAACCCCCTTATACAGTTTTGTATAAGGATAAGATGCAACTGAGGCCGCACCCCAAATTCCTTCCTAAGGTGGTCATGCAATTTCATATGGGGCAGGACGTTTGTTTACCGGTGTTCTTCCCCAAGTCCCATACGGACCCAAGCCACCACAGCCTGCATACCCTCAATGTCCGTAGAGCCTTGGCATTCTATCTGGAACGGACCAGGCCATTCCGCAAGTCGACACAACTGTTCATTGCGGAGAGAATGAAAGGCCAGCCTATCTCGGCTCAACGCTTGTCAGCATGGATTGTGCTTTGCATCCGCACATGCTATGAGCTCGCCAACGTACCAGCCCCGGTGATCAGGGCTCACTCGACTAGGGCCCAAGCGTCCTTGGCGGCTTTCTTGGCGCAGGTTCCACTCCAGGAAATCTGTAAAGTGGCCACCTGGTTGTCGGTGCATACGTTTACAGCCCATTACGCAATCCATCATCAGACCAGAGAGGACGTGGTGGTCGGCAGGGCTGTGCTTGAATCAATTGTTCCTTGACTCCTACCCTCCTCCAATGGTAAGCTTGTGAGTCACCTAATGTGTAACGGACGTAAACAATCACTCTAAGAAGAAAAAACGGTTACCTACCTTCTGTAACTGTTGTTCTTCAAGATGTGTTGTTCACGTCCATTACACTTCTCACCCTCCTTCCCCTCTGTCGGAGTCACCGGCAAGAAGGAACCGAGGGAGGGTCGTGCCCGCAGGGTTATATATACGCTAGAGCGGGGCGCCGCTTTGGTGGGAGGGAGGGGACCCTGTCGGCCTGACGGGAGCCGCTGAGGGAAAAAGTTTCCGACGTCCGTGCACGCAACGCGCGCACACCTAATGTGTAATGGACGTGAACAACACATCTCGAAGAACAACAGTTACAGAAGGTAGGTAACTGTTTTTTCTTACTCTTTGTCACCCTTATGCTTAAG